GTGTGTGTGTGTGTGTGTGTGTTTTATCAAACGTTTACAGGGTATTTAACCCCCCAAAAATATTTGCACGTCAGGGAATATAGCGAACACGATTGGAATTGAACCCCGACTCTCCGACTTCCAATTCTAAGCAGTTATCCATGACACCACCCGCACATCCAAATTTACAGAAGATGTTATTCCCAGCAGGTCATTCATCTAGGTACTAACCAAGCTCAATGTTGGTTGTACGAGAACCGATGTTTCAACTGGGTATAGCCGTCAGATTTGTTTTCTTGGGACATTCTTCTAGGAGCGCCAAACTCGTATATAAAACCAAAATCTCACTTGGTCTCTGGGTTTTTTCAACCTTGTTGTGTCACTGGTACTATGGCCAATTGGTTTTACTGCTGGCAAATGTTCTATTCAATCCTGAAAAATATTCACGTATAGAACTTGCCGGTCTTATAAACCATTTAAGACGTCATTAACGACACGGAAATCGCCCTGAAATGTTCGCTATGGAATTATGGGAAGGTTGTTAATGAAAATTAAATACAATTTAGGACCAAGAATACAGACCTCTTTCAATTTAACAAATGAATGCACACCGTAAAATCCGGTATTAATTACAGAAATAAAATTCCAGTATTATTTTATTGGCTTCTAAAAATATACAGTATTAATTTTAGATGTATAAAAAAATCTGTATTGATGATAGATTTCTACCGATGATCTATTAATGCCCACCGTAAAAATTCAACAATGGCCACTAGTGGATTAATATGTGGCCATTTTGCCAGACTGATTTTGCTATTTGGAACAAAGCACACACAAATATTGATTTTTATGGAGAAGGTTCAACATGTATGCCAGGCATGTGCAACTTTTTTCATGCAGTGGGCCAGATGATCTATGGCTCATCACAAGACTATCGGCATTACTAAAAAGGTTCAAGGTAATGTTTTGTAGTAGGTACCGCAGCTATTTTCGTTACCGAAGACCATATACGTAAGCATATACCTTAGAAATGGAGGAAAAGTTTGTTTGTTTTTTTTAAATAGATTTTTCCACCATTAAAAATTTGAAGTTTTGGTATAAAGCCACTTATGACAGGGTGAATAAAACTTGTCACTGTGTGTGATTTATTTCTAATTTATTCATTTGAAAATTAAAAAAAGGTTTATTTCTTCTTTAGAGAAAAAGTTATGAAAAATGTTTCCTGTTTCAAAAGAGAAAAATGTTCACACGTATGATCTTCCTTAATGAAAATCGCCAATGGCTTTTAAAAAAATGAAAACTTTTATAAAATTCCAGAAACATTGTACTTAATCACTTAATCATTTTCTATGTACGCGGTTAAGTATGAGAGAGTGTGTGTTAATAGTTCAGAATGAAAAAAAAAAGGAAAAATTTAAGAAACTATTTTCCTTATAAAATTAAGCGTTCCATTCAGAAAGACCAAACGGGTCGCATGCAACCCGCGGGCATTGTTTTTCTCATGGCTGATCTACACTATACCACTAGCATCTACTTCTGAGGTAATACGGCAATACAAGGAAATAGAAGAAATCCTTCTATATATGTAAATATATAAGAGGAATCCCATTGCTGTGGATTTGTCAGCGATTTAATCTAGAAGATTGTCATTGCTTTACTAGATTCGACCCTGACTTGTTCCCCTGCAGTTGTTTCTTTTGACTAGACTAAATTAAGCTGAGTAAATAAGATTTATACAAGAGTAAATCAAGGAGGAAAAGCAATTTTCATACACCTTTAATCCCACTGATGAAGAAGAAATTCATATGTCACGTTTGACATAGTCTCCCTGCACGGGGATGAGCTTGAACGATGGTATCGTTCAATGAGCTTCTTCGTCCCATCTGAAAAGAAGCATTTCGGTTGCTCACGAAGCCACGTCTGGAGTGGTTGCTTGTTTGGGCGCCCATATTACGGCACTCGAAGTCATCATGCAGATCAATAACTGATGCCGACGATTGCCTCCACTTGTGCTAACGTGATTCTTATTCCAACAACCCCTTTTTTTATTAAATATTCTGGAAATTTCCTTCCAATCTTTAATGTAAGCTGCGAGCATTCGAGAACAAAGAAAAGGTGAAGAAAAAATCCAGCCATAACTTTTATTACTAACCCCCCCCCCAAAGTATTTGAAACACAAGTTGTAACTGTACCTGTTTGCATTTAAAAGATTATTTCTTACCTAAAATATTGTTTGTTTTGTGTAATGATTGATTTGTTGGCTTATCAATTTTTGGGAGGTTATTTAAAGCCGAAATATGTTTTTGGATAATAATCGTTTTCTGATACAAGTCTTAATATTTAACTCATATTTGACTGGTGAAGATTTGGATTCATACCTTTTCCAAAGGTATTTTTACGAAAGTGAATATAACGAACCCGACTGAAATTGGAACTCGGCTCTCCGATTTCTCACTCAGAGCCGTTATCCATTGTATCGCCCACATACAAGCTTAGAAGTGGTATATAGCCGTCAGCTGAAAATACTGACCCAGAACGTTTTATCTGGTGAATATCATTGGTATATAAAAGCGTTCGACTGGGGCACCTCGAGGCGGTGTAGTGGTCAGCAAGCTTGTCTCGCTAAATCAGTTACGACTTAATAGTGAGTTTGATCCTCACTGGGTGCCCCCACTTTCGTCTTTGTGCCACATCTAAGGTACGCTTGGAAAGTCAATATAAAAGCGTTCGACTCGCGAACAGATAGTCAAACACGATATCTATTTACATTCCTTTTTTTAATCTTTTTCCTTCCCCCTTTTTTTTTTTCGTTGGCTGCGGTCCACTATAAATTTTTGCCAAGTCACCAAGTACGTTTTCAAGACAAATTAGTTAATTTCACGTCACATTCTTGTCTTTATTTACTCTTATTTCGTTCTGAATTTTTCTGAAATGAATTTCAACATCAAATCACTTTTTTCTTTCCCCCTTCATTTTTTCTTCCACAATCCAATACTCGATATTTTCTTTTTTTTTTTATCTTATCTAACCTCAATTTACCTCTTTTTTTTTTTTTGTTCATTCCGTTAAAAAAAAAATGACAGTTTTGTCCTTCCACTCTCCCCCAAGTACGTATAATCCTTTAAATAATTATTTCCGGCCGACCAGGTGCAGTTAACCCGTGCTGACCCGAAAAAGATAAGGTGATGAACGTCAAGTATTCTATAAGTAACTTCTCTGTTTGAAAACCAAATATATCGTCGGAGATCTCTTCAGTATTCTCTTGTTTTTACGTTTATATTACTCCATTCTATCGGCTACAACCAGTTCCTCAAACGTTAGCATTCTACCTAACCATTTCGTCCTGAACGACTGTGTTAGTGCATCCTTTGTGAAGAAAATGGTGAAACGTTCGGCAACTAGTTTCCGAGCACACACGTCTGCTAGGGCGGTTAGAGCATAATCCGATCGCTTGTGAATATCTATACTTGTGAATATCTGTACAACGGTATATGAGTGCACTCCCCAATTTCTAGATGACCAGAGCCTGGTAGCTGATCTATTCTTTGATTTAGCTCTAACAGCTCAGTGCGGGGAAAAACTGGCTGGTCATATCCAGTGCTTCCGAACTAATGACCTTCCGTCATTACCAGGTGGACCCAGAATATTCGCCAATCGCGATGAACGAGTGTTCTCTCGGTGAGGCCTCGTGCCCTGAGCGCCTATTAGAACTTCCAGACCTCCAGATTTCCACATCAATCCAGACCTCAAATGCTATGCATCGCTAAAGGTGCTGGAAAAATGGTCAGTTCCTTGTACCGCTCCAGTAAGTACCTAACTTCTTCTGCTTTACAAGAGCTAGATAAAACCGAAAACGGAGTTATCAAGAGTTTGAACATAGCCAGTACTCTCAAACCCTCGGTGGACTAGCAGAACCATCAACAACCAATTTGACCGGGTGTAGACGTTTATCCCTTGTTTCCTGTTTAAGACTGGGTCTCAGGTCCCTTCTAAATCCTTTTACGTAAGTAACCCGCTAATTCGAACGCTACTGGTGTCTTGTTTTTATCATTATAAAAAAAAAAACCAGTCCCAATAATCAAATTTCTCCTCCAAGAATATACTAAACCTGTACTGTGGTTTTCTGACACTTTCCAACAGTCGATAACATCAAGACGTCACGTTCCTGACAAATCAACCATGGTGAAATTCGAACCCTGTTTTCATAATCAGAAAACGAACTCTAAGAATAAAATGTATAGATACCATGGAATAGATAACAGACAAGTAGTGTTTTTTTCATCGTTTTATACAATATTTTTTACACACATTTAATGATATGAGCTTGGCCCTTTTCAGCAAGTAAATGGATTCTGGGAAACCCCCTCCCACGTATATCACCTGTTAAAATTCCCATACGAGATTTAGTTATGATCATACACATTGACGAAAAATTTATTCACATCGATAAATGGATAGGAGAATAAAAAAATAATTTAAAATACAAATAATACAGTAATAATACACATTTTATTACACAAAGATGGTTATGATTTCATCATGGAATGCTAAAACGTTGAAAGGGAACATTTTTGGCCATTTATTCATCCAAAAATTCCATTCATCTTCCCAATTATCTGGAAGTGATCTATGTTGAATCCGAAAGAGATTTTGAAAATACAAAAGTTAACCGCTCCCAGAGCGAAACGAAATACTTTCGGGTGAACTCATTGATTTTATTGGCGTTAGCCTACACCCAGTCCTGTAATGCTTTCACTTTTTTCCCCAAAAAGTCCAAAGTGCTGAGAACACGAGAGACTCGATCGCATATAAAGGGGATTTCTTCCATGTAAACAGACGGTCACGCTTACCACGAATTGAGATCATCAGGTTTAGAATAGGAACACAGATAATACATTATTTTAGTTCCGTTACAATTATTAGAATTTGATTAAGATAAGTATCTTCCCATATCTTCCACACAAATACACACACAAATCTGTATCTGTATACAGTCTTCGTCGACCTGACTAAGGCGTTTGATACTCTCAACAGAGTGGACTTATACAGTCCATCAGAAACTTGGCTGACCCGGAATGTTTGTGAACCTTATCTGTCTGTTTCATAACAGCATGACTGGTCTTGTACTTTCTGGGGGAGAGACGTTTTGGCCCTTTGAGATCTTCACCGATGTGAGACAGGGGTGTGTCGTAGCCCCAGTCCTGTTCAACCTGTTTGCCGGCGTTCGTAGACAGCCACGTTGTTAGAGACACAGGGGATATAGACTGGCCGGATCTCTCTTTGACCTCTGTCACATCAGTGCAAAAAACAAAGACGATCGAGAAATTGATACTGGAGGTCCTCCTTACCGAGGATTGTGCCCTCATGGCACACACAGAATCTGCACTTCAACTCATTCTCAAAAAGCTTGCGGAAGCGTCCATCCTATTACGACATGATCAGCCTTGTTAAAACGTAATTGCGGTTCCAGTACAGCCCTCTCGGAACAGACCGCCATCCATCCATTTCCATCGAGGGAACAGAGCTGAAGACTGTGAAGTTATTCAAGTAACCCGAAAGTAGCATTACCGACGATGACTGCCCCGACAAAGAAATCAACGCCAAGATCTTCAAGACAAGTCGAACCCTAGGTAGGCTGCCAGCATGTGTGCTGAATCAGCACAACACCTAACTTGAGTCCACTAGGCTCAAGGTCTACACGACGGCTATCCTCACCAGACTACTTTTTGAATTCAAGACCTGGACATTGTATAAAGGAACATGAAACTGCTGGAGCACTTTCACATGCAAAGACTGCGTTCTGTCCTGGCCATTAAATGACAGGATAAGATCACAAACTTTGAGGACCGCGCAGAAACAACTAACATAGAAGCCAAGATCCTTGAAGCCCAATTCAGATGGTCGGGGTATGTCATCCGGAAGTACAATGACAGAATTCCCAAAAAATTTCTCATAGAGAAAGGGAATGCATGCTAGGCCACTGAAAGCTTTCAAAGACTGTATCAATGCCAACATCGCCACACCAGAATAGCCTCCAAGCAGTTTGAAGAATGCGCACAAGATCGAATTGGATGGTGTACACTGATGCGAGAAGCAAGAGCGACATTTGAAGACCAACTGACGAGAGAGCATCAATGAGGCCCGTGAAAAAATTTGCTTTTCTGAAACTTTATTTGAGGAATATTAGCTGATTTAAAGTTTAATTAATCTGGTTTGAAACAAATCTTACTTTTAGTTTAAAATGCATTTTTAATATAAAGGTATGTGTTTACTTAAGGTGTTAATAGGTTGACAGCTTGACTGACAGCCAGAAGTATATCTAATTTTTTCTGCGGTGGACATATCTGTAAAAATTACTTCAGGAATATAACGTGAGCGCTTTTTTTTATATAATTTTTAATTACCCATTAATCTTACAAAATTAGTGAGATATCCCTGTAATCTAATGTTTTATCGAATCTTAGTGAATTAGGCTTTAAATTTACCATAGTTATCGCTCTTATCTTCTGACAATGTCGTGTATACACGTGGATATGTACAAAAATCGGCATGCATTTATACACGCAAACATTTTAATTCTTTTTTAAAATATTGTGGTCGCTGAATTGTAGTAAGCGTTTCCATTTATGATTAGTAAATATAGTTTTTACTTAATAACGATATCACATAACCGGTACAAATTAATACTGAAATTTAAAAGATTTAAAACTTTATAAATTATTCTAATTAAAATTAAAAAACAAAACAAAACAAAACAAAACAGTTCTTATGAAAATTCATTATTCATCGAAAAAATGTTCTTAAAACAATATCTTATACATATAAGCAATTAACAGTTAATTAAATTTCTTACTTTTATTGAATTATTTATTTTATGATTTTTAGCAGATTTTAGGGGATAATGCTTCACAAAAAAAGAATTGATGATTTAAATTCTCCAAAGACGTCTGCTTATAACTAATATAAAAATTAAGAACTAGCAAAAGAAATTTCTCAAATTTTCATGAAAATTAAATAAGTTAGGTTAACTATTTAAAAAAAAAATTCCCCAAGATTTTCGATAAAATAAGTATTTCTAAAATAATTTCATTCATTTGTGAATAATTCCTGAAAGATTCATTAAAATCAGATAATCTTTAAGCAAACACAAGAAAAACAAGACTTAAAAGTCTTGTTTTTCTTGTTTGCTTAAAGATTATTATACTAAATTTGAATGTCTTTTTTTTTGCACTGAAAATTTAGTCTCTTTTTTTTTTGCACCAAAATTTCGAACGTTTGAAAAAGGATAAAAAATAAAACTTAATAATCAATTCAATTTATATTAACATAGAGATTATGGCAATAAAACTTAGTTTTTATTAATTTGAGGGTAATTTTTCATCAAGGTATGCTCATTTTTTTTATCGAATCTCAAAACCACACACACACTCACACAGACAGACACACACACATACATATATATATGCATTGAGATAGATAGATAGATAGATAGATAGATAGATAGATAGATAGATAGATATTCTATGCGCGTGTCTTCATAATTAGATAGTTTACTATTTCAACTAAGTACTTTCTGACTATTCAGAAATTAACAAGATTTTTCCAGAAAGTAGGATATATTTAATATATCCCAAAGAACACTAGAAAGAAAGCTTAGCTTCCGTTTAGAAAAAAAAAAACAAAAAAAAAAAACAATAAATCCTTGAGCTAAAAATAGGTTATAAAGTAATAAACCATCTTTTATTAGATGCGGCCCGCAGAATGCGTTTTGGGCACTCATCTCGAATAGACCCGGTGTGTGTTTTTCTTGTCAGTCCGTACATCAATCCATCTTTCAGCTCTTCTTCATGGTATCGTGTCTATTTATTTTAGGCGATCCATCTGATATGTTTCGAGTCGGTATAATCCTTCATTCGTTGGAATTGGAACAGTTGTCGTTAAAGAAGTCGCACCAAATTCCGTCAGCACCTGTTAGCGCTTTAACTGGACGTTGAAATACTGATGAAAAGTTACTTCCATTTGAACCATAACTTAATTTCTAATTAGTAAACAGAGAGAAGGTTTAAATTTAATTCTTTATTTCTTCTTGTCTGTAAGTGGATAATTAGACAAGACTCTCTCTCTCACACACACACACACACACACACACACACACACACACACACACACACACGTACAGAAATAGAGAGAGAGAGAGGAAGAAAGAAAGAGTGGAGTAAGTTTAAATGATGTACATTTTATATTGTTTATCTATAGCTATCGCAAAAAAATAAAGTTAGAAGAAAACATTACTCGAAAGTCATTAGTTATAAATAGGTACCTCGTGAGATTCGCTAAAATTGAGCGTACGTGATAAAATAAATGCCCCAAAATTAATTAAAAAATTATAGTGAAAATTTTTATATTATTAGTAAGAATATATACATATATATATATATATATATATATATATATATATATATATATATATATATATATAAAAGTTTTTTTCTTTTTCCAGAACTATCGAAAATTTTGTTTCTCCGGTGTCAAGTGTACCATGAATTAGTATGGGGAAATTTAGCGCCTTTTTGCAGTGCAAAACACACTAATTCTTGCAAAAATCAAATAATTGTCGGATTTTAATGCAACTTGTTCACAAACGAATTAAATTATTTTTGCAATGCTTCATTTTTAGAAAAAAAATTGTAAAAATATGTTTTTAAATTTTATTTAATTTCATTTCACAAATTTAAATTTTGTACCTCTTAATGTTTATATTAGTTAGAAAGACTTCTTCGGAATCACGATTTTTTTTTTTTTTTTTTTTTTTTTTGTAAAACAGGACCTCCAGTTACCGAAAATCTCCTCTGAATAGTAAAATTTTAAAAAAATGCAATAAAAATAAGACATTATTTAATTAGAAAAGCTTTTAATTGATTTTATCAATAAAATATATTATGGACACTGTTGTGTTAAGAAAAACTTTTTTCGACGAAGAATTAATTTTTAAAAACGGAGAGGTATCAAAACCAGATCCGATACAGCGCCAGCTCTACACAAATTCCGTCGTTTGTATCATCCGAGTCTACTTATACCAACGGACTATGCCCCCATGAGTCACGTTTTCTAACCCCATTCCCCTCCATCCGGAGTATTAGAAGTCGCTTCAAGCAGTTATATATAAGTTAAGGGGGATTTGAATGATCATAATTAATTAATCGAGTCTAGTAGAATCATCAACAGAATGCAGAAAGCACTTGGAAGATTTTTCTAGATTCGATGAATTATATATATATATATATATATATATATATATATTATTGGGATCCGTTGACTTGTGGTGCTCTTTTCTATTTATGATTAGTAAATGCAGTTTTATTTAATAAAAATGTTATTTGGCTGCTACAATTCAATATAGAATTTTGAAATATTTAAAAGTATATAAATTATTTTTAAAAAAATAAATTTAAAAAATGTTTGACTTGAATTGTTTTATATCGAGGGCTTCTGTAATTTTTAGTCGAAGCCCACACTTGCATTTATATATAATAATGGTGTTATCAACCAAAATCATTGTAATGTTGGTAGGATGTTGTTTGTGGTTTTCAAGATTCTTTGTTTATGGCACTGATATCACTTAATGTGATTTGCTATTCTTCAGCAGAAGCATCAACCTCACGTTATTTACCAATTGCAGCAATGCGTAGAGAGTCTTCTAAGAAGATGCACCAATAAAAATCATAGCCACACAATGCACCTTAGAAAACAAACATTCAAAACATTAACAACTATGCCCATGAAAAAAAACCTAATGAATTTTCCGAAAGTCATTGGAAAAATAATAATTACTGACAGTTTCTGCATTCCCTTCTTTATTTGCTGTGTCCCCCACTCAAGACGTAAGCGAACATGGCTCACCGAAAATACCTGTCCCTTGTATCCATTAATAAATTTTGTCTTTCTGTTATTTCTCCTAATCCCTGTTTCGCCATTTATTTAATCAAGTTCACTAAATACGTTATTAGTTGTTTTCCCCTGTCTTAAAGCTGTCCTGTGAGTATCAATTTTTCCACGCCCTTTTTCCTCATTATGTACCCTAGAAATTTTAAATGTCTCTTCCTGATGTTAAGTAAGTTTCCTTTTTGCTTCGATTTTTCTCTAACACTTCGTCGGTTCATGGTATCCACAGTATTCTTCTGTAGAACCAGATTTCTGTTGCTTCAAGTTTTTTTCATCTTTGAGGAAATTGCCCTGGATTCACTGGCATGCAGAACAGATATCAGCATTTTATGCCTTCATCATATATATATATATATATATATATATATATATATATATATATATATGCTTTTCTGTGCCTATTTGTCCGTATCTAGGTACGTGCCTGGATATCCGTGAATATGTATGTTCTTGTACATATATATATATATATATATATATATATATATATATATATATATATATATATATATATATAGTTGACTCTCCGTCGAATTCGACGTATGAGGGTCAAGCAGATCATTTCCCAGGAAACCGACAGCCCGACAACGGCACATGAGATTTGATTATAGTGGTGAAGGTATAGTGCAGGACCATCCACACTTTTTGAAGGGCTGAATACAGAGACCTGGTGCACTACGTGCCACAAGGTTCCCAAACGACCCTCCGCAGGTTTTGAATTCAGAGTTGTCCTTCTCCTAGACCAGTTGCCATCCAAGGCTATAGAACACAGTCTGTCCTGCTATTTTACTCATAGCTGGAAGGAGAAAAAAGAGGATTCACACCTTTCCCAAGGGTATTAGCATGTAAGTGAATGTAATGGATTCGACTGGAATTTCTCAATCCAAGCCGCTATCCATTACTCCGCCGTGCTTATATATATATATATATATATATATATATATATATATATATATATATATATATATATATATATATATATATATCGTGTTCTTGTGGTTCTTCGCGTTTTATAGACCAGTCTCCTGTATTTTTTTTTCATTCTAACGTTTTTTACTCTCTCAACAACCTTGTTTTCATCTTTGTCTTTGAAAGTATCGTAATTCCACCAACAGCCCTTTATTTCTTACACGTTCGTTCCACCTGCTGTCACGTCGTGGGATGTCAACTATTCTGGCCAATGTATCTTACAACATCATGACACGTGAACACACGTATGCGTTTCTAATCTAGAGTGACGAATCACCGACAAGGATGTAAAAACAGTATAACGCATGAAAACGTAATCTGAGTATTTCCTCTGATGTACAAGCATGATTTTAACGCAGTAAATGACGTTTAATATAGAAGTTAGAATTGATATGCTATAAAATCACCACATACCTGTGCAAACGGGTAAAGCCTACATATTTATATTGTCCCAATAAATAATGCAAGTGTTCCCGATAAACATAATTGTAGTTAATACATGAAATTGACTTTTAATATACTCAGTTGTGTGAACAGATGTTAGAATATTAATCTAATTTATATATATGGTATTATGGTAATGTTAGCAGTTTCAGCATTCAACGACAGAGCAACTAATCCTACTGTCGGTTAAAGTTTATGAACTCTTAAAATAATGTTTCAATAAAATAGATTTCTTAAGTACAGTAGATTTTCTCGCTGTTTCCCGTATTGATTAGGGCACAATCTTTAAAGGAAAAGAAATGCAGTGTTTATTGTCTTGCAACAACGATTAATGGTTAGAATTAAGAAATATTAAGGTTTACTGACCTACAAAGATTAACGGTGTAAATTAAATATTAAATGCATGTTTACAAATATTCAAACTGACCACGAAGGAAGTCAGAAAGTGAGTACATTTTGGGAGGCCCTATATATATATATATATATATATATATATATATATATATGTGTGTGTGTGTGCGTGTGTGTGTGTACACAGGGTAATGCAAAAGTAACTCCCCATTTAAATGTACTTATAATTTATTTATTAAATATAATTTTTATAAGAAATGGATATGAGAAGAAAGCGTTTAGCATGCGGTTTTATTTAAAATTCAATATGGGCCCCAAATTCCGCTACCAGATTTTAGAGTCACCAAGGAATCTCATCAACTGATTTAACCAGGAACTCTTGCGGTATGAAAAACATAACTTCTTGTATTCGCACTTCAAGTTCTTCCAAAGTCTTGGTTTGGCATATTAAACTTACTTCTTTGCCCAACCCCAAAGAAAAAAGTCCCGGCGTGTTAAGTCAAGATTCCTGGCTAGCCATTCATACATAAAATAGGGATTTACTTTTCAATCACAGTGTATATATAATCCTTTTTGGAGACGTCCTTGAAGCAAAGATATGATCTTCCTTATGACCTCTTGGCGGTGGCCAGTTCACAGGACAGAAGGACCTTCGGAATCTTATATATATATATATATATATATATATATATATATATACCAAAGTATAGGATTATTGTATACGGAATATGCATTCAACACCATCACTTGAAAAGACACCGGAAGTGTTGAAACAATATGGCTATTTTTGTAGTGATTTTATAACATATTTATGT